TTATATAATTTATCCCTCATTAACACCATTGCTAATTCTCAGTATGCTGCAGTGAAGAAAAGATTAATTTCTGAAAAATTGGTGACATATACAAATAACTGAAGTATAATAAGTAATTCTAAAATTAAGATTTATAACAGATGTAATAGAAGGCAGCTTAGAAAACTATTATTCTGGTAGTTTGAATGAAAAATGTCCCACATAGGCTGAAATAATTGAATATCTGTTCAACTGGTGGCACTGTTTAGGGAACTAATTGAATCTCTAGGAGGTGAGAACTGGCTGGAAGAAGCAAATCACTGGGGACAGGATTTGAGGGTCCATACTTTTGCCCCACTTGCAGTTTGCTCTTTCTGCTTCCTGTATGTGCTAGAAGATGTGAGCTTTCAGCTTCTGCTCTGGCTACCTCTTGCCATGACTTCCCTCCTAAGATGGACTCTTATTGCTCTGGAACCATAAGCAAAATAAACTCATCTTTCAGTAAGTTGGCTTGGTCATAGTGTTCTATCACAGATCAGACTAATACAGAAGTTGGTACCAGGAGTGGGGTGTTGCTGCAGGATGTGAAAGACTTTGAAAGCTTGGACTAGAAAAGCATTTAAATGCTGTAAACAGAGCTTACTGGGACATTCTCATAGGAGCCTGGAGGAGAGCAAGGACTTAAAATGTAACTGGGCTAGAGGTCATTCTTGTAATATTTTGATAATGAATCTGACTGCCATCTGGCCATGGTCTAAGAACTTGCCTGAGGCTAATTTAAGAAGTAATGGACTAATTTATTTTATGAAAGAAAATTTTAAGATTGCCTAACTTTGAATCTGTGGTATGATCATTAATGGTGAATATTACATAGATCTACAATTAAAAGACCAAGTGGGGTAAAAAGAATTTTAAAAATCTACAGTTTGGAAAAAAAAAAAAAGGCATGAGCCCTAGGATTCTTAATGTTGCAGCCAAGAGAGCCAAAGATGTCCTGCAAGAGAGGCTCTCATTCTTAAGGACATTTGTACCAATAAGGAAAGGACTACTGCTCTACACTGGAGTAATGAGTGCCCTCAGGGCAAAACCTCATCCCCTTAAACTTCCAACTTGTGAAAGGAGAAAGCTAGGGGTTTTGGTTCTTAGAAAACAACATAATGTGTTTCAAGGCAGCCATGGTCCACCCCTAATTGTCAGCCAAATTTTAAAGTGTCCTCTGTGTGGTAGTGACTTTAGAGGCATGAATGATGTCAGAGTGAAAGGATCATTGTTTCTTTCTTCTTGGTCTCAGTCAGCAACGAGAACTTCCTGCATACAGTAGGCACTGGGAGAACAAGAGGGCCTGAGAGGAAATTGTGTTAAGTTGTGAAGGTCAAGTCTCTTTGCAGGCAAAGGAGGCCCCAAGAGATTAGAGATGCCAGAGCTATGAGATTTCTTTCAGGTGGAGTTGTATACAAGGAGTGGAACAAGCCCAAGTGTAAGATGGATGTTGCAGGCAGTAAAGCCGGAGAAGCAGAGTCATCTAAGCCTTTTGGAACTAACATCCCAAATATTGGACAGAGAACTATAGGATTCAGTGTTTGCCCTGCTGTATTCTGGTCTTGGTTTGATGTCCTATTTCCTCACTACTCCCCTATTCTTCCCTTTTGGAATGGTGATCTATATCTGTGCCATTGCATACTGAAAGTATGAATTTGATCT